TAAAACAAAATTGTTTGCTTATTTTTTAAGAATGTCTGAAAAGAAGAAAAAACTATGTTTTGAATAATTTATGGTTTCTCCTTTTGTTTTCAATTTTTAAAAATAAGGGTAATTTTTTTTTAAAACGGTGTATATCAAAAAACGTGCATCACAAGTTAAAATTTTCCTTAAAAGATTATTAATTAAAAAGAATTGGTTCCTAAACATTTTTATTAATTTATAAAAGGTCATCCTTGGTGTTTTGTTATCGCTATTTTGGATATTTTTTTCTTCATTTTCATTCATTTAAAAAAATTAATTCTCCCTTTATTAATACTGCCACGTTTTCGATAAGCATGCTTAAGATGTGACCACAGGTTTTCAATTTGGTCCATATGTGCTCCTTGAGCATTAACAAACCCAACAGAGTGGTTTACCACTTCATGGAAAGATTTAAATTTGGCAACGGCCCCGGGGTAAGATGGATAACCATCAGTAACAATGATAGATTCGGGTACAACATGTTCATCGAACATATCTAGTATAGTCGGAGCTTTTCTGTTAGGAACAAGCTTTAGAACAAATTTCCTACAATTTCCCTCTTCTACACCCCCTACTAACCATTGTACATTAGGTTTGTTGTCCAGAGTACTGGATGGGTTAGGTATTAACTTAACTCCCCATTACAGATAGCAGTTTTGTCAAACTGCACCCCAATACCTTCTCCACCTATTTTAACCATTTCTGGCTCTTGTTCAAAAATTACTTGCAAAATTGGGTCTTTGATTTTAATATAGGTAGTCTCCGAACAATCGCAGAAATTAATGGCCCGTGCTAGGGTATAATCATATACCCAGCAATACATTCCCCTAAAAATTTTTACAAATTCTATATTCAAGAAGGCCATTTTAGACCCCTTCTTTAGGCTTGCCTTTGATCTGCATGACTTTAAAGAGTATCTGTAAGCATACCCGTCTATATACGGGGCAGCCACCATAATCCTCATTCTGTTATTACATTTAACAAAAGGGATTTCTTTTTTTATAGTATTAATTTTTAAAAAAATTCTATTGTCTTGGTACTTTTTAGAAAAAATTCTTCACTATATTTAAAACATAAAATTATTTCTTCCAGCTGATCCATTATAAGGGTTAAAAAATAATTCTTTTTTACCTTTACTCCATCTTTCCACCCCCCCCCACCAAAAAAAAAAATAACTACGTTTACTTTAAAAAATTTTGTACGTAGTCATTCTGATGGGGTGGAAAGATGGAGTAGCGCCACATTTTGTATTAAAGAAAGGTTTGTCTTTAATTAAAGAAAATTCCTTTCTGCAGCCCTGCCTAGTACATTTCACCATGTTTAAAACCCCTTTCTAAATGGTAACTTACCCAAACAAAACCTACAAAGGCGTTCTTGTACAATTTCATCGAGTGAAGTATGTAGAATATTTTCAACTTGTTCGAAATCTTCCTTCATTTTCATTTTGTTTTTTGAGGTTAAAAAATTTTAAACGGTAAGCTAAAATATGGTGAACTAAAGTACGCTTTAGTTTAAATTTTTGATGGAAATATAAGAATTATACCGATATCTTGTTTTGTAAATGCTAAACTGGTTATGCATTTAATATAATCTAAATGTTGTACCACCTAGATAAGTTTGTTTTAATCCCTCAGCAAAAAAGTTTTTATAAACTGCTTG